AACATTTCACAACTGCGGGGGAGGGGGCTGCCGCCGGCGCGCTCCGGCTGTGGGGCTGCCGCGGGTACGCGGGTGGGATCCCGCAGCCCGGAGCCCGGGCGGACGGGCACGCGCCCTCGCTACGTGAAGCAAAAGCTGCAAGCGGCCAGGGTTTTCGAAAGCCTTCGCGCTGATGGAGACCGGCCTGGCCTCTTTCACGAAAAACAGCTGCTGAACGGCTCGAATGGGACCTCTTGATGCCTGTGACTGGCCTCGGTCTGCCGAAGCCACCTTATCTCTGGGACCCTCTAGCTTTCACGTGTCTCCATACAGGAACTGCCCACCACGTTCGGTGATTTCCAAGGGATATGCTCTTGTGCCAGTGTCAGGTGTGCAGGTAACAAACCTGCAGTGAAAGCTTCAGAAAGGTCTTTGAAATAGCTTTAGGCATTTCACTGGGATTCATCTTCCTGCTAGGCACTCCTGTGAATTGCAGTCGAAGGTCATTAGAGTTAGACCAAAAAAAGGACCTGGGTAGGTAGAGTTAAGGCCTGATAGGTGTACTTTTAAAGTGTCTAGCTTTGGAAAGGAATTCCAAAATCTGAGTTAGAGTCCCTGGCTCATTGCGTGGGGAGAGTTCGGAGCTCTAGAAAGAAAATCCGACGAAACAGCGTTTCAGCGCGTTCAGCCCTTGGCAGCCAAAACTGCCGAACCTTTTCTCAGAGCTGCCGAGAATTACCTCCACCAGTTTGGAGTCCGAAGATCAAAAACCATTTCCTGAAGGCACAACCTATAGCCTTTCCTCTAAAGCTGTGCTTTAAAAAGCACTCTAGTTCTCTGCAACAGTCTTGTCAGAACACTTGTTCGTGATACGCGAGACTCACGGATTCACCTGCTCTGTGTGATGCCATCCAGACTCGCATCGCACCTCCCTTGTAATGCCTGAAGAATATTAACCAACAACTATTTTAATAAGAAATACAGAAACAACCAGTGGAACAGAGTTAGCATTTGATTTTGTTAGAACACAGTGTTCCTGAGGCAAAATCCAGTGCTTGAACCACAAGAGAATCCATGCTCCATGGTAGCTCATAAAAGTCCATTGAAAAGGGGATCCATGAAGAACAATAGAAAACAACAACCCAGGAGAAGAATGGGTGAATACCTTAAAAGTTTTCCTATTGAATTCCTGCAATTGGGACTCATTAGGAAAAGCTGGAATATGGCATCCTCCATTCAAGTCCTAGCACATGTACTAACAATATTCTCCCTCAGCCTTTCATAGATAGAAATAACATAGCAGCCCTACTGCCTGCCTGGAAGAATGAGAAGTCTGGGTTTCTGCCTTCTTACTAATGAGCTTGGAGCTCACTCTACACAGAGTGTAAAATTCAGAAGTATTGAACTTCGTTCTGTAGTAGAGCTGGTTGGGAGCTCCATTTCAGTAACTGTTTTTTATTGAATATATTTAAGAAAGTCACATCTACCTGTGGCAAAGACTGTAGCAGCTTTCTAGCTCAAAAATGAGTGGAGGGAAAAAAATTTCAAAATTGTCAAAACATCTTACTGTGGATATATTCTGGATGGAAAAGTTATGTTTTTCTGTTTCAGTTCGAAACAACAGTTCATTTCAAGCTTCCAGTGACAGTCTAGAAGGATGAACAAAATAGAAAAGGAAACATTCGGAATGGCCTTCAAGCTGACTTTCATTTTTTCTTTGGTGCATGATTCTGACTTGTTTCCTGTTAAGGAAAAAAAAATCATCACAAAAGTTCTCCCTGGATGTGAAAACATAATCCTAATTCATAAGTCTCTTTTTCTCAGAAATAAACTCTCATTTCTCTGGCCATTCTGTTACTCTTCATAGAGTCAGTTATCATCTCTCTTCTTAAAGATCCTACTATGAAAGGGTATAGTCTAAACCATGGTTATTTCCATGGGTGGATTAACTGAATAACACATGTTAGGTCTGAGCCAGTGTAATTTCCTTCAAGAGAAAAGGAGTGGATTTCATAAGAATTTGATGACTCGAAGGCTTTGAAAATAAATCTTTTTCTTCCACATGCTCAGGCAAGATTTGTGGTGTTAGCCTGTTGCCAAGAGTAACTTACTGTAGACTTTTCTTATGTAAATAAAAGTGAAAACAGTGCACGAGTGCAAACATCTAGTGGTGGAGTAAGATAAACTCATTGAACTCAGTGACCTCATTTTTCTTTCAGTTGCATAAAAGGACTTGCTCTTTCTTGTACTGTTCTTCATTGTTGTTGCAAATGTGGTTAGCTTCATCTTGCACCTTGGTGGGATCCCATCCATGGTGTGTAAAACCCACACGCCCTTTGGCTTATATCTCCTTTGTGGTTCTTTTCACATTTTCCCCTCTTGTTACTTGTCTTTTGCAATACAGCTCGGTGGGAGAGAATCTTTCCATGCTCTTTGCCTGATTTGCTTTGGACTCACAAACTCTTTACCCTTTTCTCTCAAGTTACACAGAGAACAGGGTAACTCCCTGTGACTGAGCATCCTGAAACCACACATCCAAAATGTTTCTTAATACAGGATGCATTAGAAACAGAGAAAACTTAATGGAGACAAAAGAAATCATTGGTTTGTCAAGACTTTGTCTTATGAAGTGGATCAAGCACTCTTAGCAAAAGATGGACAAAGTTGTAATACTCTAATTGTACTAGTGTAAATCAAGGGGTACAGTTTGCACGTCATATAGGTGCAGTTCTAGTAGCAGCCTGGCATTTCTAATATTAGACAATGAGACTTATTCTGCTGTAAATATATATATATTTACCTTATATAGCCATATGTATTGCTTTATTTCCGCTTGCCTATGGCTACCCTTGTACCAGCATGAGGTGGAACGAAGGGGCTTGCGGGGGGGGAACCTTTAAAAAAATCCCCTTCTAATGGTGCTATTCTTTTCAAAAGGCAATATCAGATCTTAATGAAGCGAGTGTTAATTATTTACCAGACAAATCCTGGCTCCCTTCTTAGATTTTCATTCCCTTATATTCTAAAGAAAAGAAGGCAGATTTTTTTCAGATTTTTAGCCTTGTTCTTTCAAAGAAAGGAAAAAAAACCCTCCTGTTGCTCAAAAGCAACATTATCCTCCTTTGTATTCATATATATCCAGCATTAGAGCTCAGTAAATCATATTAGCTACTTTCCTCAAGTCATCCCAACAAACTTCATCCTCTGTGAAGAAAATTTCTCTTTTCCCTCACTGTAAGGCGTTGTACGTTGTTCTGCAGCCTCAGCTGAGCCCATTAAGCTGAGGGGAGTTTCTGCTGGCTCTCACTATCTAAAATGGGAGCTGGAGATTCCCTTTGGCAGGGGAATCCCTTTATGGTGAAGCACAGTAAGAGACCTTACTCTACCTTTGTGGGCAGGATGTACTGCAAATATAGAGCTTTAGTCCCATAATTCTGGCCCAGCAGAACAGTTGTTGCCCAATGCTGATTTTACTTAAAATAAAAGGTATACAACTGATACAGAGCTATTTCTGCAGCCCTGCCATTCTTCACCGCTATTTGGCACCTCAGTATCAATAGGGAACATACCTGGGCCCAAAATATTAGCTATGTATTCCTGTAACTCCACACTTCATCTGGTTCTGAAAATATTTCTCATGATGGAACATCTCTCAGTTTACCCGAAACTTTTTTTGGCCCTTACTGGAAGCCTTTCAGGTTCATGAGGGGCCTACAATTGAAATGTCAGTTTTGCTTTTTTGTTTTGTTTTGTTTATTTTTGTGGTTCATCATCAATAAGAACTGCTCGCTACACTACCCGAAATTAGGTCTTCAGTTATACCTGTAC